TTGGTCAACAATACATATGGTGCTTTTCCATTACCAGTAACAGCTTGACTCGTCTTGGCTCGCTTTTTGCTCCGTTTTCCATTGCAGACAGTACCGCCACAAATAGTACCCGGTCGTCATAGCGACGCCTTTCGTTCCTTGTTGTCCCATCAAACTCTCGCTGGATCCTCTCTTCGGCCACCAAACAAAGGAAAGTCTGCACCTCCTAGTTTGACCACGGCGTATTCTCCCGAGTTGCCATAATAATAGTAGTAAGTTTAGTAACTATCTCTGGCCAAACTATTTAAAAATGCGTGGTTATTCTGGATCAGTGGTGTAGTGTAGTTTTTTGTAGTGAGTATACTGTGATTACCCCCCCCCCCCCATTATTATTTAAAAGTACATTTTACTATGCAATTTCTTTATTAAAGCTGCAGTAGGGAGTTTTGAGAAAACGACGTTGACTTAGTCTGAAAATTTGAACAAGTACAACTTACACGTCCCACCCCCTTGCTCTCTGCTGCTCTACAGCCCTCCCTCCACAGCTCATCCCCCACAGCAGAGCCGGCCGTGAACGCGCAGGCTAGTAAACAGGGCCACCGATGATGGCGGATAAAAAGTTATATGGCACATTCACTAATAGGGAATAAACGTCAACAATATGCTTTATATTGACTATGGCCTGCCCATACTTTGATTACAAACTTGGTCCTCAAATCCTTATGTATTTTCCAATACATGTAACTTTATGTTGCACTCTTTCTATAAGTTATAAATAGCTAGTAAGATAACTTTAATATAATGGTAACTAACGTTACGGTATGTAAGTAATTATTCTAGCGATATATAATGCTAGATACGGTGTGCTAGCTTATTTCAGCAACATGACAAGCCAGTGAATTAGCAGTTTTCAATTGTTGCTTTGCGGAGTGCGTGACATTTTATCAACATGTTATGCGGCTAGTTTTGACAATGGGCTGACAAATTAGACAAGACGAAGATGTTTATCGTCATCGGTCTTTTTCCCTTTACCTCTTTGTTTTATGAGCAGGTGTCCCTCGAGAATTGGCAGTTTAGGGTACTTCTCCATCATAAGCACAGCACTTGCAGCTCGCCGGCAATCTTGAGTTTGAACGGCGGTACGCGCTCGCGCTGTGCAAGAGAGGGGTGTGATCAGCGTGTACACGAGCGTGATTGACACTGCTAAGACATTCCTCCTGGCTCTGATTGGTTGTTTCTGACGGGAGCGTTGTATTTCTGCAAATGGCAATAGGACCACTGGGAGGAGCCAGAGGAGCTTGATTTTTTCACAGATTATCTGTCTCATATTCTACTGTCAGGACATAATGACAGTTTTAACAAATGTGTAAAAAAAATATTTTTTTACAAAAGTTACCTACAGCAGCTTTAATTCCTTCAAGTTACTTTCTTTCTCTCTACAATCTTTTATTTTGGTGGGTTGTAAATTAAAGACATTTATTCTGTGTTTTAGTAAACTATTATTATTATTAGGCCTACTTGAAGTATACTCTACTGTTCAATAGTAATATATTTCTGTTATATTTTCTTCATTATACAAAACTTTTATTTTAACAGGTTGTCATGAAAGTATACGGCGTATACCTCCGTATCATGTAGACTACACCACTGTTCTGGATACTCCATCTGGCGCATGCAATGATGACACAGTGAATGGTGACAATTCTCTCAGACCAGTCAGCAGTCGGCATTGTTTTTTACGTCACATTTTAGTATCGCCTCAGCTCGCCGGAGGGGATTAAAAAAAAGTACCCAAAAGCAGGTACAGGTGCAACTTTTACACAGTTGAAAACCAAACAAAGACGAGCCGAGCTGAGTCGAGCTGGTACTGTGTAGTCGAAAAGCGGCTATAGATAAAAATTTTGCATCCTTTACGCAACTTCAAGAAAATTTTGACCTACCCGGCTTCCAACTATTTAGATACTTTCAGATACGGAACTTTATTTGTAAGCAGTTTTCGAACTTTCCCTTTTTGCCAACAAAAAATATACTAGATGATATATTAGACGTTCATGCATCTTTAAAAGGTGTTATTTCTAAAATCTTTACTATAATCAATACAAAACAGTCCCCCTGAATGCGTCCACTGAGGGCGCTCTGGGAGGAGGACAATATTTGGGATCTAATTCTCGTCCAAATACACTCATCATCTATAAATACTAGGCACACCCTCATTCAATTCAAGTGCACAGAGTCCATTGGTCTAGAACCAAGCGTGCCGCACAAGCCCTAAAAAGTGAAGCCAAAACGTCTTGATCGCCCCCCTGTGACCGGACCTAGTATAGCTCATAACCCCCGCCTCCCCGTGTTATTCATTGGGATGCGAGACCAACTAAACAATTAAATTACACTTCACATATCCTTTTTCCAAAGATAGTTTCTGTCATTTACTGTAGTTTCTATCACGTTGATGTAATTTCAAGTGTTCGTTTTTAATATAAGTTTGTTTTTAGTTACTTATGTGATGATAAAAACGGTGCTCTGACATCATGATTGACAGCTGTGATTGACAGGTTCTCTGTGCGAGGTAGTCACTGAAGCACCAGCGGACTTTTTTTAATAATGTTGATTATGTGGTTAGGTTAGCAGTTGTATTTACCTTATTTTAACGAGGTTCTGCAATCAGCAGACATCATTGGAGAAGAACGAAGCAGACAGAGGACACTTAATGAAAGTGCGGGCGTGTGCTTGCGTTTGATTCAGCGAGAATGAGGGCGCGGCCTTGATTTCTCGGCTTTACTTCCTGCTCACGACTGCGCATGACTGGTCCCGAAACACGCAAGTGCGCAGACTAAAGTTCCAAGATGTCAGCGTCATATCGAGACACTGGCGCCTTCAGTTCTCTCTGATGGAAAAGAGCAAAGGGGCGTCGTCCATCTTTTTTTATACCATGGTCTGGGTGAATACTCGATTCTGATTGGCTGCAGGGTGTCCGTTAAAAAGTGATAGAGGACACCTAGTAAAGTAGTTCTGGTGAAACTGCCTGTTTACCATTCGAAATGAATAAATAAATGCGATGCCCACAACAGCTGTGAGTAACCATAGCAACAGGCAGTCAAAGTATCCGTTAACAATTTGCTCTATCAAAACAAACATCTGACGTTAGTTAGATATTACACCTACTAATACAACAATGAGCGACTTCGTTATTTCTTTTAACATGTATGGAGAATATGACAACTTTGACGACTGGGATGCTGCTGAAGAAAGAAAAAATGTAAATAAAACGGAGAAACATCGCAAAGAAAATTACACCACTGCTGCTCTGAATGAGACCCTGCGGGAGTTTTACGCAGCTCTCCAGACAACCAAGGCAGGAGGAGAGTACAGCGTTTCAAGCCTAAGGAGCCTATTTGATTAATTGTTTTATGTGTAATTAAAAAAAAAAAAACTATGCCTACCTTTGTGTTTCATGAAAAAAAAAAATGCATTTTTGAACCTGAAGGGTTCTACAAGCTGAGCGGACTATAAATATCTCCGGTTACTAAATAAACCAGGCGAGTTATTATTTGTAAAAACTTGATTTAGCCTAATTAAAATATAAACTAATGTTTTAAAAATGTTTTATTTGGCAAGTGACCATGGTATAAGTGGGTTAATGCCCTTCGAGGTGTCCATTGTCAGGTTTTAATGGACTTCGGCCGGTTCACGCCTCGCCGTCGTCCATTAAAACCTGACAATGGACACCTCGTCGGGCATTAACCCTTACTTACAGTCTATTTCTAGAACTAAATGACAGTGACAGTGTAGCCTTTGCATTTCTACTGGCTAGTTGACTTATTCTTATGAATGGCAAGGCAGCAGCAGCCCCCCTTCTTTCCACCAATGGGTTTTTGACCGTTTGTATGCTCTTGTAACGGAGGCCAGCTAGTAGTTGCTGTGCGGGTAAACCTCACTCCCCGATCTCAATAGGTGCTCTAGCGACAGATGCTGGAGGCTGCAGTCTTTAGCCTCCTTGTTAGAGCGCCTGACTCTCATGCCAGAGACCCGGGTTCGAGGCCCGCTCAGAGCGGGTCGAGTTGGACCCGGGTGTGAGGGGTTACATTGGTGCCGTGACCCGGATGAGAGTGAGGTTTAGGGGGGTGAGTGTAACGGAAGCCAGCTAGTAGTTGCTGTGCGGGTAAACCTCACTTCCCGATCTCAATAGGCGCTCTAGCGACAGATGCTAGAGGCTGCAGTCTTAAGCCTCCTTGTTAGCGCGCCTGACTTTCATGCTGGAGACCCGGGTTCGAGGCCCGCTCGGAGCGGGTCGAGTTGGACCCGGGTGTGAGGGGTTACACTCTCAGGAAGGAAAGATTCACTTCGCAATAAAACAAAAGCCAAAACTTTTCCTGAAAGTCTGGAGCCCTTTTCTGAAATATTTTAAGGAGACAAATACATATTTTTTTTTATTTATTTGTGTTTAACTTCATTGTCATTTTTTTCCCTAAATTCCTTTTTCTTCTTTGTGTGTATAACTATACTTGTCTGCTGTTTTCTTTTTTTTTCTTAATCTGAATTAAGTATTGTTGTATGTTACGTAATATGTGTATATGCATCTGTATTATGTATACTGTACTACGCTTTATGTCAGTCCTAAGATGAACCCAAAAAAAGCAAAAAAATATATATTTTTAAAAAAAAAATGGAATTTCTCAAAAACATGATTTTCGGAGCCAAGAAATTCAGCAAATCTTTGACATGGCCTTACTCAGTCAATATTAAAGATATCAAGGTTATATTTTCACAGAATGTTCTTTACAATATGTATGATTATTTTTTGTAGAAAACAGTGAATCACAAAAAAAATGGGTTTTTACAGGCAGACAATCTTCTGCTGACTGGGATTTATAAAGGAAATATTGAGCAGGTTCTGGCGTACGCATTTAGAAGTCAAAATATTCTTTGCCTTATACGCCATTTTTGGCTTTCGGGCGCACGTACGCTTTTATTAAGGTCCCTACGCACAGTTTTATAAATGAGACTTCTGCAGTCAGACTCACAGTTTTGGACAATGTCCTCCATCTTCTTCCAGACTCTGAACGGCAGGTTGCCCAAGTAACGTGACACATCAATCAAAGCTCCTGAACTCATCTGTGGATCCGGCTGTAAGCTCTGGACTCTGGAAGAACATTCAGGAGTCAGAACTGCAGTGGCTTCGGATCAGAACCAGAGAGACCAGAGACAGGAGCAGATCACTCACCTTTCCATTGTGACAGCAAACTTCTACAGAACAAACACACAATTTATCATTGAAATCAAGAACTCAATCAATGAACCAATGATCAACCAATGATCTGAAATCAGACCTTTAGAAAGCAGATGTCATTGGCTTTCATCATCTCCTCCATGTCTTTGATTGTGTGTGAAAGAGCTGAGATTAGTCGGTTCATCTCCTCCAGCTTCTGCTTCTTCTGCTTCTCTTCCTCCCTCAGTGCAGTGATTGTAGCCTTTTCTTCCTCTTTGAGAAAATTACGAAGCTTCTTAAATTGCTGTCTAATCTGAAGCTCTGTGCAATCAGCTTGAGACTGAAATAAAATTACACTCACGTGAATCATCCCAATCAACACATCAACACAACACATCATTCACATCAGAATCCAGAATCCTTTCCGGATCCAGAAGCAGATCACTGCTTGTCATTGACAAAAATAATAAACAGGAATCAAATGAAGAGTTCAGATGCAAAAGCCTCTAAATGCCATTTGAAATTTTCTTCTTTAATGATGATTTTTATCAAACTTGTATATTTAAGTTCAGTAATTTCACTTAAATAACAATTAATAGGTAATTATCATTGCCATTTAAGTGAAATTACTGAACTTAAATAAAAGTCATCATTAAAGAAGAAAATTTCAAAGGGCATTTAGAGGCTTTTGCATCTGAACTCTTCAAATATATTTAATATATCAGATTATATAGTAATCTTACAGCTGTAATGAAAATGACCCTTGATTCTGTTTCCTCACCTTGATGTGTTGATCTGTTTTCTCAAAATTTCCTTTCATTTGTTTATTGTGTTGAAGTTTCTCTTGTGAGGACTTTAGTGCCGTAGTGAGCTCCTCCTAAAATTTAAAGTGAAAATCGTACATTTACATGACCAAAATAGTATGAATCTACACATTGTTTACATAAAGGTAATGGTTTATATTTTTATATTAGTTTTGTTGCTTCAGTGTGAAATTTATCTATAGCAGGATTAATGTTTTTTTTTACCCATACTTGTGTATCATGTATAGGGCTGTGACGATGGCAATTTTTTTACCACCGTGGTGGTAATGGACCAGCTTCCGGTGGTGGCATGTGTTTTGTTTTGTTTTTTGGGGGGGTATGTTTATCAAATAAATGCTTAATAGAAAAACAATAAACAAATAAGGCTCAAACATCCATTTTGTAAAAGACATGCATTTTTATTTAAGTACTTCCGTCAGTGAAACGATCACACTGCAGTCTGTAAAACATACATGAAGAATGAACAAGATATTGCGTTGAGATAACGCTGTGGGAAAGCTCTACGTGATTGCGTCGTGAAGCACTTGTGAAAAAAGTCCAATGGCATATAGGCCAAAAAAACGTGCACCCAGACCAAACATGGTCAACTTCTGATAGGTCGAAGCATGTCGATCACAGGCACACTGGAAGTATGGCATGGTGACGCAACGTCTCGTTACCTCTCTAGGAAACCGATGTTACTGTTGTAAACGATGCATTCCCTTTCAAAGGAAATCGCTTTGTTTCAAAATGACGCTGTGGGAACATCTATATCAACATAGTGACCAGTGCTTGTCTTGTATGACATCGGGCGAGCACAACAAAGACAGAATCACCTGGGGCCCAGGAGTGAAGCCCAAATCTAAGTTGGAAACTCGATGAGTGTGTGCAGAAAAAAACAGCCCGCCGCATCACACGCCTCTTGTAGAGATAACCCTAAAACAATACTCTGCCATACACTGAAAAAATCTTTTTCTTACTTAGTATTTTTGTCTTGTTTCCAGTCCCAACATCTAAAATGTCTAAAATGAAGATGAATTCAAGATGCATTTATAAGGTATGTCCTTTTTTTCTGGGGGAATTAATCAAAATTGAGTGAGTTGATGCTTAGAAAAAGTCAAATTATCTGCCAATGGGATGGGGTAAGAGAAATAATCTTAAAGGCATAGTTCACTTTGAAATTTTATTTTTGATATGTTTTATCTTACCTCAAGGGCATCCAAGATGTAGGTGTCTTTGTTTCCACAGTATTTTCAATTTTGATATTTTTCAGTCAAACCGTTCTTGTCTGTCAGTCATATAATGGAGGTCTATGGTCACCACTTCAAAGAGCAGCACAGAGAAGTCCAAATTAAACATGATTTAAAGACTCTTAAATGTAAGTACACATTAATAGCCTAAGACACGAAACGAGCGGTTTGTGTGAGAAAACGAACAGTATTTATATCGTTTTTACCTCTTGTAACCACAGCCACGTCCAAGTGATCTGAAGGCGCGGGCGCTTCGGTCTGCGCAAGCGCAGCAAAGCCCAGGAAGTGATCCCTTGTGCGGTTGCGGAAAAAAAATCAATGTTGTCTGTTGATAAATCGAAATCGTCTTCCATTGCAATTTCCTGTATATTTAAATATGTTTAGATCTTCACAGTGAAGGGTAACACTTCTGAAATCTCTGTGTAAACAATGAGTGACGTACACGCGAGAGAGACACTTCCGGCACATGCGCAGACAGAAGCACCTGCACCCTCAGAGTACTTGGACGTGGCTGTGATTAGAAGAGGAAAAAACTATTTAAATCTCACACAAACCGCTCGTTTCGTGTCTTATGCCATCAATGTGTACTTACATTTACGAGTCATTAAATCATGTTTAATCTGGACTTCTCTGTGCATGCTCTTTGAGGTGGTGACCATAGACCTCCATATGACTGACAAACAAGAACAGTTTGACCTAAAAATATAAAAATTGAAAATACTGTGGAAACTTGGATGCCCTTGAGGTAATCTAAAACATATCAAAAATTAATTTCAAAGTGAACTATCCCTTTAATTCAAACAGGAACAAGATTATTTTTCTTACCCCATTGGCAGATCATTTCACTCGTTTTAGGCCAAAATTGTTATTGATCTTGTCACGGTATCTCTGTGCGTTCAAAATGCCATCAATAAAATGCACCTGTGTTCATTATCCATAACATACGCCTGCCCATCCCATAACCCCACCGCCACCATGGTCCACTCCATCCACAATGTTGACATCAGCAAACTGACGCAATACACACTGTCTGCCATCTGCCCTGTACAGTGAAAACTGGGATTCATCCGTAAAGAATTTGAGTGTGAGCATTTGCCCACTCAAGTCGGTTACGGTGACGGACTGCGGTCAAGTCGAGACCCCGATGAGGACGATGAGGATGCAGATGAGCTTCCCTGAGACGGTTTTTGTTTGGTTACGCGAACCGATTGTTGCAGCAGCTGTCTGGGTGGCTGGTCTCTGACGATCTTGGAGGTGAAGATGCTGGATGTGGAGGTCCTGGGCAGATGTGGTTACACGTGGTCTGCGGTGGTGAGTCCGGTGGAAGTACTACCAAATTTTCTGAACCGCCCTTGAAGACGGCTTATGGTAGAGAAATGCACCTTCAGTTCACGGGCAACAGCACTGGTGGACATTCCTGCAGTCAGCATGAATGAATGTGTTTGGGATGCTCTGGATCGACGTATACGACAGCGTGTAGGTCTTTTGTGTACATAGAAAAGTCTAAGATCTTTGAGTTCAGCTCATGAAAAATGGGGGCAAAAACAAAAGTGTTGCATTTATAAGTTTGTTCAGTGTAATTAGTTAATGAACTAATAAAATAATAAAAATAAATATTAAATTAAGATGCTAACTATATTTTTCTATATAGCATTGCTTGTTCCACCACACAAAGGACTGTTTTAAAGATGAACTGAACTGAAAAAAAAATCGACGTTGAAAACGTGTTGTTTATGACAATTAAAAGTAAATTACACTAAACATTTTAATAAAAAAATATGAATAGCTTTTTTTAAGCAACGCAAAATTGCGCTTGTTAGCGCTGGCAATTTCGATGACGTCACTGGCATGGTAGGACCCGCGGAGCTCCATAGACAACAGCTGTATAGGTCCTATACATACAGACGAAAATGGGCACTTTTAACGGCATGGATTACGCATTTGAGCCCATGAGGGACAGGCCGGTAGTGTCTAGTCTCAGCCTCAGACGTCACGCCCACGGAACGTTGGCTAAACGTCTGATGCATATGGTACACTTAACTGGAAACACTTCAGGAATGTCGAAGTCGTCATCTGATTGGTTGAATTTTATCGGATTTCCGGGGGCGTCAGTGTTTATTTTCGGTCCGCCGGGAAACAAAGCGCAGACGTGTGAAAAACTGTTGTGTTTTATGAGTGACCTATGTGAGTGACAATGAGCATTAATCAAGATCAGCTAAACGTAGTTGTATGTCCCCTCCTATCTATTATGGAAGATCAAGTGAAGTACTTAATTGCGAAGGGGATATCAGCCGCGTTGTGGGCAAACATGAAACAACAGACGCTGACATCGCAGCTGGCCGATTCAGTATTCATTATATAGGGCGCACACTGGATTATAAGGCGCATAAGATACTGCAGAGTCAAACGTTTGACTGGGTTTGCGTTATGCATCCACTAGATGTGCTAAAGGCTAAAGGGAATGTAGCGAGTGCGCGGCGCCGGAGGTGAGGCGTTTATTTAGTAGGCGTGAGCGCGCTGGGGCGGGGACGTAACTTACATTCGCAGCCTGACTCATGCGAGTATTCAATGTGCGGCGGCTCGCTGCCAGCTAACGTTACAGCTGGCTGTTTTGAATGAGTCGAGCCGGTTACTGTGAACGGGGAGCGCTTTATGAACATAACTGTGACACACGAGCAGCGCCGGGGACAGTGTGTCTGTTAAGAGTAAGCGCTCGTGAGCGGTTACGTGATTTACACACATAACCTGATTTATACGAGGTTGAACTGGCCGTGTGACAAAGCGGGCATAAGATGGACATGAGCGCGAGTTCGTGGGTGAATTTAATAACGCGGAGCGTTGTTAACGAGCGCCTCCGGTGACTGCTGCTGACTGACTTGTTGCACACCGGTCTGTTGTTGTGGGGACATTTCCACGCCCTGAAACGTGACGCTGAACGAAACGAACTGTAATTGGTTGTTTGACATGTCGGTCAAACGGCCTTATGGGCGGGCCTTGGCCAAAGAAAGCTGCTATGAATTCCAGACCTTCAGCCGTCAGTCTGAAGGTCTGACTACCACCACATGGAGGACGATCAGTTTCAGGCTTCACTCACAGTACAGGATAGTTTGGGGGGAAGTGACTGTGGGCGCGAGCGCTGTGGAGCATAGACACTGCACAGGAGTCAATCTTTTGCAGAGAGGTCAACTTGGAACTTTTATTGATCGGCGAAAAATGCATCACCATGCACCGTTCATTTCGGATGCTGTTCGGTGAGAGAAACGTGTTGGGGGCTATGCTGTCTCTAATGGATGTCCGAGCTGATACGCGAGCGCCCCATCAGTAACAGGGTATTTTACGAATAGGCGACTAGGCTGGGCTAACTTGTTCCACTTTTCTCAGACTGTTTAGATTAACAGCGTACTGGCAGTTCACTCTATGGGCGAGGGTGCGTTTAGAAATAAGAATCCCATCCTTTACCGTGAACTATACATCAGGAATCTTTTCCCCTCAGCCGAATATCAAGGATTCGAGTAACGTTAACGTGATGTGTTGAACTTGTAACTTGTGTAAATAAAACATTTAATGCAGACATTGTCAGACGTTTCATGTACTCATTGACGAAAGTACATATCTCTAGATAGTGTGTCGCTAAAAATTCTGTTTCCTCAGCCATGTCATTTAGCCTCAGATTGTTTACAAGCTACGGCTGCTCTGCTGGTGCGGGTGCCGGGTAGGCAACGGAGTGGCTTACCATGCCAGTGATGTAGTCGAATGTTGAAATCCAACATGGCGGCGCCCGTGTAACAAAAACAACACTTTCAATGTACCATTTTATCCCTTTTAACAAATTCTGCCATTTAAAAAATTGTACCAATGATAATAAATAAAATACATCTGTTATGTCACCTTTTCTCAAATTTCAGTTCAGTTCATCTTTAAGGTGACAATCTGATATACATGTAAAGATTTTACTGTATCTTGAAGATTTTTGTATTGTATCCAGGGGCGGCTGGCCAATAGAGGGCGCTAGGGCGCCATATATTTCAAACCCACAAAGGTGTCCAAAGTTCAAAAACATCTCAAGGGACACTTCAACAGAGCAGGGCAACATGAAGGTAACATTTGCAAACAGACTTTTTCTTTTTGCAAACAGACTATACTGTTGTATTCCAGCCAGGGTACACAATACATCGATGGAGTCGCCCCTGCCGAACCCAGCAACATATAATTTTATGATTATCCAAGACGACTTATAAATGATTTTTTTTATGCAATTGAAGACGAAAAGTAAAGTCACGAACACAATTCTTCCTTTTTTATTTACAGCAAGATGATGTCTAGTGATCGTTAAATAAAGTAGCCTACATAATTTGGTGTTTTGTCTATTCTTATTTGTTTTGCTTTACATTCAAAATATCAAAAAACATGTTTTGTAATGTTAGCATGGTGATGTTAATTACAAAATTATAGGTTGAACTGAAAGAAAAATTTGAATAAAAAAAAACATTGTAGCAATATGTGTAGCCTACGTGCAAATATGTATGTTTCACATAGCCTACTATTTTTCAAAAGATAGTTCAATCTGTAATTATATATCCCTTCCATCAGTAACACAATATTTATTTTGGCACAACATGCATTAACCAGGGAACGCAAATATTTATTTCGTAATATTGCATATTGTTTTCAATTGCATTTGGACAAGGGTCTCGAAAAACGAGCGTCATACGATGTTCTGAACATCAGGAGGCGCTGTCTCGAAAAACGAGTGGTCTGGGTGGGGGACTGTGGATGCAGGCTCTGAGTCTGCAGCTTCATAATATTGGTCTATATGCAAAGATAAAAGACATAAAAACACAAAACCCATCAAAGAAATAATACTGTCTTACCTTATATGATAAAATCATTTCACGGATGGGTCTGAATTTATGATTGTCGTGTTTCTGTGAATCTCTGCACACTAAACAAATCAGCTGTTTGTCATCCAGACAGTAGAGTTTGAGTTTATCTCCGTGTAAACTGCAGATCTCCTCAGATCCTGATGAAAGGTTCTCATTTCTCTCCTTCAGGAATGACTCACACAATTTGTGTAACTCAACATTTAAAGGAGGAAACTCTTTTGAGGATCTCTTCCTGCAGACAGGACACTCCTGAGCTTCCCTAGTTCTCCAGAACTTTTGAAGACACACTTTACAGACACTGTGACCACATGATAAAACAACTGGAGCCTTGAAGATTTCATGACACAGAGGACACGAAAGTGTTTCTGCAGATACTGAAGCCATTTTCACTGTTTGAGCTCCAGCAATCTAAACTTTACTTTCACTTTCTGAATGATGTTGCAAAAAAATCACGAAAATCACAAAGATCTGTTGTCCTTCTTGAATCCTTCTTGAAAGCTTTTTTTGTTCCACTAATCATTGATTTGTGTTTGCTTTTGTCGAGGCACAAGAGTCAGCTTGACAAAAAGGAATGATAATCAAGTCTCTTCCTGGTTCAAGTTTTGTAAGAGGGAGGAGTTTATGTTTGTAGCTTAGCGCAAGCATTCTCTAATGACTGGCAATTTATTGACTGGTACACCATAAGGATAACCATCCAACTCAAGATTCTGTGAGAACTAAATACACAAAAATAAAGCAAAAACATAAATATACAAAACATAAATGTTGTCTTTGTAAAATTTTTAAACAGAGTTAAGTTCCCTTTAACAGCTTAATAGTCTTTGTACAGATACTGCTCTCTTCCACACAGCAACACAATCCACATTTATTACATACAATATAAATAATAAACTTACTTTATTGGCTGCTTATTACCAAAGGAGAACTTAATCTTGAATCTGATTAATATAGATTAGAACATGCATTACTATTTAACTTGCTATGCACTGCAGACATCTCTCTTCCTGATAGTGATGGGTCGGTCATGAATGATTCGTTCATTTTGAATGAATCTTTAATATGACCTGGGAACACAGAGTTGTCTCAGAGAGTGATTCGTTCATTTTGTGGTGACCGCACATGCGCAACATTCTATAGGTTCTGTACTGGAAACCGAAATTATTAGTTCATTATTAGTTCAGTCTTCGGGTCTGACTCTTCTGAGTTGTTAGTTCTTTTGTCATGTGACGGGACACAGAAATTCTCACGTGAGACTTTTTCTTTTTCGACCCGGCTGTGATACAGCTCAGATGAAACGTCAAACAGACACGAGTGCTCCTGCCAAATTTCTACAAATTTTTCTTCCATTTCTTGGGTCCAAATAGAAGAAGACTTTTTCTGAAACAATGCCATGCTTGTTGATATGTGATCTATAACTCCTCCTCGAACTCGCAGCTGCTCTGTCTTGCTCTCTCATTGGCTGTCGGTAATCGCCAATGTAGTTTTCAGCATAGAAATCATATAGAGACTAGATGCCCTATTGGCCGCTGGGCACTGAGAAATGTGGCCGCTATCTTGAACCTGTCGTATTCCTATTGTGTTGCACAGCAGCAGTAGATGCCAGAGGATCGTGCAGCATATTCCAGCTCAAATCGGTGGACTATCGCTCTGGAATTACTTTTCACAAGTAAGATTTAACATTTAACATTACCTGACTAAAGTTTGTATTTTGTGAATAAAATAGCCCATGTGTCCTGTATCAGAGCTACATGTATGACCTTTGCAGCAAAAAACCCAGTGTGAAAATCAGTTCGGTATTCAGTGAGATATGATTCATTAAATGCGCTGACAGCTCATATCACCTGCCAAACAGATTAGACTGAGCGGAGCGGATGACCGGTTTAAGATGGCGGACAAACGGCTCGTCCGTGCCAATTAGTGATGGGATTTATGGCTCTTTGAGGGGATCCGGATCTTGGCGATCCGTTCCTTTCAAAGAGCCGTTCAAAAGAATGGCTCTTTTGGCTCTTTTTAAATATTTAGTATAATCACTGGGAGGAATGATGAGGTGAGATTTGTAGTCAAATAATTCAAACTCAGATATCACGCATCAATATCTGAGTTTGAATTATTCTGAAATATTGATTATTACCTCATTTGTCACGTGTGGGCTATATTTCAAAGGGTTGCACAACATCCCTCTGCTTAGAATGTGACATCACTATTTTGTATTTACCTTTAGTACAAAGTGAGTGTATGTGTAAAGCTGTTGACTTATGTTTTTCAAACAATACCACAAGAACATTTTGATAAAAAACAAAAAATATTTAAAGTTGGAAATATATACTGTAGATACAATAACATTAACATGAACACAAAATGCAATGTAAATAAATACAAGCAGTTCCTTACTTTATGGCTTTAAAAAAAAAAAAAAACTGGAGTAACCATGTGATGGCGGCGTGCACAAGTTTTGGCTCCGCTCCAACCCAATGACATAGGCACGTAGGGTTATAAAAGATAATGTAAAAGATGCACGCGCGTGCACAACTATCACCCCTGCGCTGGGCGCCCCTTCCCCTGTAACTGAGGAGGTAATTGATGTGCATCTGTGTAAAACACGCATAGGAAAAAAGAACGGCTCCCCTCCTGCCGCGACTCGGCTCCCATCGTTCATGTTTATGAGCCGTTCAAAAGAATCGGTTCGTTCGCGAACGTCACAACTCTAGTGCCAATAGGCTTTAGCAGTCGATAGGGCGTCTACCTATATGATGTCTATGGTTTTCAGTCAGAACACTTTTCACACAGCAGGATTTTGAATTGCCGATAGGTCCAGATATTTAGCATGCCAAATATCTCACGGGCGTCAGCGACTCGTCTGCGATTCTCTCAGATTGCGTCTTTGCTTATTCACACTGCGTGATTGTCACTCGCGTGAACGAGCGCCGATTTGCCTGTGATTTTGGGCAATTGTCGATGATTTCTCAAAACCTGTTGGCGAGCCAAAATCGTGGCTAAAATCGTGCAGTCTGAACTCGACATAAGAGACTGCATAGCCCAGATAAACAATGAAATAATCGTTTCTGTTTCCCAAAATTTGTCTTGCATTGCAATTTGTTTTCTTATTCTAAATGTGATCAACATTTGATGTGTTTTGGGAATTTGGCTATTTACATGTAACATTTAAATTATATTCTGCTGAAATGAACAAATTAACTAAATGACTTGAAAAAAGATTTGTTCATTTTGATTCAAAGATCCGAGTCAGTAAAATGATCCGAACTTTCCAGTACGACTTCCTGAGTTACTCTGTGCTATTTCATATTAAAAGTCTCCATTCAGGCACCATTTTAAGTTAATGCGCTCAATGTCAGACTTACCCTGTAACTACATGGAACAATTTCCCCAGTATTTAAAAAGAAATTGTAATAGTTTTACTTGCCTTGAAACATGCAAGCCTAATCTAAAATATCTGCACTTTTGCTAGCAAAAAAAAAAACAAAAAAAAAACTATAAATGCACAGATATGTACCCTGTCATTTTTTAAATGTATTGGTAGGCCTACACTATTATTACAAAATAGTACGCAGTGCATGTTCTTGCTAAATTTCTCCCACATGTAGGGTTGTTGTATCATAATAGTAGTTCTAAAATACCTACAGTATACATTTTTTGTATTAATTCTAGTGGTTGTTACTGCTTTATTACATTTTGTTTCCTTATACTTACATGTAAGTACTTATAGATACACTATAATTACCAAAAGTTAAAACGGTATACTGTATTTTTTAATTACACCAGGAGTCGTCAACCTTTTTCAGCCCAGGGACCCCTTAGCCAATAGTGAAATAGAACAGGGAGACCCCCCAGATAAATAAATAAATAAATAAAAGGTGTTATGTTTTAAGCATGGCCATACACATTATTTGTCACCTCTTTTAAGCAATTTTGTAATCGGTTATTATGTTTAAATGTTTGATATAAATGTTTTTTGTATAATTCCCACACTGCTTGAGGCGGATTTTCTATGAATGTGCGCATAGTCATCCCAGAGAGCGCGCAAGCACTGATAGTTTAAAATTGCTTGAATGTTAAACTGGTAAGACTTAAAAAGACGTGCAAATGGTAAGCTTTATTCACGATGCACTGCTGGCCCGATTGTGCAAGTGAATATTCCGTCATGTCCCGACTCCTGAACACGAGAGTGTATTATCGCAGCAGCGCTTGATGCTTGCCTTCCACAACACTTTTTGAGAGAAGAGAAGACGCGCCACCGCCGAACACTCACGCTGTTTGTGAAATTGCGTCTGGCAGATAGTTATTAAAAGAATGATTTGATTTTATAATCTGTGTGGATTACGATTGTGGGAATATCCCGCATTATAAATGAGAGACCTGCGGGAATGATTAGAATTGTACGCAACACCCAGGATTTTTAAGTAACGTTAGTAGCTAGTAAGATAGTACAGTAACTATAGTAAAAGAATGAGAATACGCGCTCCGTTGTAGTGAGCACTTGGTCGGTTAATTTGGGCATTTTCTAAGTTAACGTTACCCTGATAGGCTAGTAATAAATGAACACACATACAAAAATGTTGGACTCGGTCGAGACCAAAAGCCATATTTGGCAAAACCAGTGGCCGAGACCGAGACAAGTCCGAATCCGAATACCAGCGAGTCAGAGACAAGTCCGAGACCATAGAAAAACGGTCTCGAGTCCGGACTCGAGTACTACAGCCCTGGCTGCTACTCACCTCTGGCGTTCCTCTTGGTGTGGTCTTGTGTGCGCGTGACGTGGACACGCAACTTATGAAATGAAGGAGCCAAGGCTTCAGGGCAGGTCATTAGTAGGCCCTCACGTGCGGTGGTGGGGGGCTTGTCACAGAGTGCTGTGAGGTGATTGTGGACTTGATTACAGTGTGCGTGCTGATACTGTGGGTGCTGAGAGTGATATAGAAGCCTTGTGCTCACTGAAATTCGTGTATCTGCCGTTAAGCCCTGGCCTCCCTTTATTTCTGTCTGTTTGGTGTTGTAAATGCTGATGACCCAGATTTTTTTGTCCTTTAAAATTGTTGCGAGTACTGAAATAAAATCTTTTGTATTTTCGTATCCACATTTCTGGCCCTTCCTCGATAACAAAGTTCCTGTGTGTCCTTTTTGTGGGTTATTAAATTCATGATTATTAATATTTCCTGTTAAGCAGGGTGGCGTAGTCGTGCACATGTACTACTACATTTATTTTCAGGATGACACATATGCCTATCTTTAGTGAGAGACTGGCCCTGGTGGGTAGCACACAGCTTTTCTATTCTAGGGGAGATGGAGGTTGTCAGGCAGAGCATCACGTCATCCTCAGGCTGGAGTCTGGACCAGTATTAACTCTTCAGGTAGGTAAGGGAGGAAAA